GTCCCCACTCCTGGAATGGTTGAACTCCACAATTCTATTCCTCTAATTCCCTACGTGTGAAAAAAGGGCCATTGACAGCCACATTGTATTACTAGAAAAAAGCAGCATAAAGCTGCTGACATCAAACACGGAGATGACTGAAAAAATATGCAAAAGCTTCCTCGGAGCGCTCCTTCTACTATGCCGAAGGGTGGTCGTACAAAGCGCCTCGTGGCACTCGGTGTCACTGTTGACATTGATTGTGTGATCGAGCGTAAAAATCTCACAAGTCTGAACAAACGCTAAAATTTCAAACCACCAATCCTCTTTGCAGACAAATTGTATACCCTTCGCAGATACATGGTTAGCGTGTGGTCTGTTTCATAAGGAGTTAAAAATGTCCAGTTTGTGCGTGGCGCAAGAAGCTATCTTGTTCTCTCTCTTTCAAGTACTTGCACGACAGCACTGCTAATGCACAATTAAAAGCGACACCGCGTATACCTGCCCCAAATGACTGCAGCAAGAACAGAAAACCGCTGACAAAGTGCAATCGGTACACTGTGCCAGCACAAGCGACTCTAGCACCATATTATGGAACCTGCCTTAGAACATGAACTTTTATGTTTGCTGTACGATTCTTGCGATTTATTAACATATTACAATACTTTATTTATCTTCCAAGCAAACACTAGAAGTTCGGCTGGGTTCCAACTTTAAAGCAGGGAGTCGAACCGGTCAGTATTCCGGTTTGGTTCGGGTTCTCGTTCAGTAGCTTTGCATTTTGTTCGGATTTGGTTCTGCAGGTTCAGTAATGCTTTTAAAATAGTGGTTCGGTTATCCGTTCCACCAAGCGCAAACCAGTTCAAACTAGTTCTTAAAAAAAAAAAAAGATCCACACCTCCCAGTCGTTAACAAGAAAAGTTGAGTTAAACACAGCGTCATCTGCATTTAAAGAAAAAACAGGTCATCAGAAGCCGTGCTGCAGAAGCGAGGACGCAAAATAAATATGTGCTTAATTTCATTTTGTGATCTTGACTTTTTAACGCAAACACCGTTTTATGAAAATTACGTGGTCAGGTGCTTGGAAAATACGAAAGTACAGTACTCGCATGTGAAGCCAATCAGCCAGCGCGCACAGTGACAATTGTTACCCAAGGTAGATAGATGAGAAATATGGGCAGTGGAGTAGGACTGCTAGCCTGGGGTCCTTACGGGCTTGCACAGTACTGATACATGACCGCACGCCGGTACGATGCTCATCCAACCAACTGAACGACTGAGTTGAAGAGGAGAAAGAAAGCGAAGGCCAATTGAAAGACGATTACAGGAAAACCTCGTTATAACAAAGTTGAAGGAGCGATCGTAATTATTTCGTTATAACCATTAGTTTGTTATAGCCAATGTTCATTTCTTCCCTAATAGCAAGTAAGGGGAATTATGATTGCTTTGTTATATCCATTAGTTTGTTATATCCCATTTTGTTATAATGAGGTTTTACTGTAAAACAAAAATACAGCGGGCGTCTTGCTGTTTCTGGAAAACGCAGGAACAAAAAAATTTTTCTTGAAGCAGCGTCCAAGGCACTGGGCGACCGGCGTTGCGCTCGTCGCACCTTCGCCTCTTGGCACCTCCAGACCTCGCCACAGCGGACCAAAAGTGCTGACAGCCGTCAACATTTTGCTTTTATTTTGATGTTCGCTTTCTTCTTTTTTTTTTAGGAATATTGCTAAGCAGCAAGAAAAGAAAATACACACACACAAAAAATAGCTCTGTAGTCTTTCGGCATAGGCAGATATAGTTTGTTTTACTGCGATAGACACCACGGCCTACATGAGCCAATTCTCATGATTTCGCTGTCCCCTTGTTGCTCCACTCAACCAGAAGGACACGTGATACCCTCAGAGCTATGAATTGGCCCCGGTGGCTCTTAGCGTCCTTTTACGGTCCATGGTAATGTGCAAAAAAAGTATAGAAGTGTACGCCTCCCACCGACGCTAATTCGTGATGCACATAGACGTGAAATATGTCTCTTTGTCTCATAAATTTTTAGCTGTCTCCATGTCGTCGCTGCCGCTTGTTTAATCATAACCGAGCCACTGATGCTACCATCGCGAATATTTAATTGGCTTGGCGCCGCTACTAGTGATGCAAAACTATCGATAAATTGACTACCGATACTATCGATAGTTTTTCCAAAACTATCGATAGTGTCCCAGAACTATTGATAGTCGACTATCGATAGTACTATCGATAGTTTTTCGATAGTACTATCGATAGTTTTTCGATAGTCGACTATCGATAGTACTATCGATAGTTTTTCTATAGTTTTTCGATAGTCGACTATCGATAGTTTTTCGATAGTCGACTATCGATAGTACTATCGATAGTTTTTCGATAGTAGACTATTGATGTTTTTTTACTATACTGGCGACTAACGATACTATCGCTAGTGCAATCGATAGTCTTGCACCACTATAGACCGTTACAACTCAAGAAGGTAGGGCGAGGGTAAGATGGGCCGGGGAGGAGGAAGCAGACGGAACGCTAAAGAGAGGAGGTTTCCCCCTCTCTTCTCCAGCGCTCTGTCTGCTTCCTCCTCCCCGGCCCGTCTTGCCCTCGCCCTACCGCTCGCCACCCCCTTCTTTTTTCGCCCAAACTCCCATCTTCGTCATCACTGAAAGCTGAACCAAAGTTGGGATGTTAAGTGCTTGGGCTAGTTGGTGCCCCGTTTGAAAAAAAAATTAAAGCGATAAATAGACAAGAGGGAGCGACGCAAACTACTAGTGTCGCAAAACTATCCATAGTAAACTGTCGACAGTACTATTGATAGGTTTACGATAGTCGACTATCGATAGTACTATTGATAGTTTTTCGATAGTCGACTATCGATAGTACTATCGATAGTTTTTTTCACTATCGATAGTCAGATTTCTGGGGACTATCGATACTATCGATAGTACTATCGATAGTTTTGCACCACTAGCCGCTACCCACAAGGATTGGCTCACATTTTATTGCGCCAGACCATTTCCAATGAACTGGTAACCACCACATGAAATTACGGTTCTGTTTGGGTTCAATATCAAATGTTTGATTTGGGTTACAGTTTTGTTCCGGTTCAGTTAAAAACAACGGTTTTGCTCCGGTTTTGGTTAAGGTTCGGTTTGACACCCTGGTTGAAAGCTACATGCTAATCAATCGTGCATGGTTACAACAGCCGCTTTGCCGCGTCTTGCGGCGCCAGGAGCGATCCCTTGTCTGTCTACAACTATTCAGTTTTGGTTGCTTCACTGAGGGCACGCCATTTTCATCCTCAAAGGAGCATAAGCCAGTGAGACAATAAGGCTGTCAGTCACCTCCAGCGCAATGAAGCTGTTTCAAGAGCCACTTACCATGCGCTAGCGAATTGCGACACAGCTCGCATAAGAACAGAGCCCATTCCATTCCTACTCTATTCCGGACAAAAGGTATCCAATTCCGTTCCCATTCCATTCCTCCCAGCGCTGCCGGCATTCCATTCCCATTCCATTCTGGGGTCGCAAAAATGCAGAATGATTCCGGAATCATTCCGATTCCGGAGTAGCAACTCTGCAACACTGGTCAATAATACCGAGAAGTACAAATTGCAATTGTACTTATATCATTTGAACTGTATCAATAAGTCTAAGTAATGAGAAAGAGTAAACAAAACACCAGTTCAGCTAAAGTAGAGTGCTCTTACTAATGACTCGAGGTTACCAAAAGAGTAATCCACATGTCAGTCATGTAACTAGTAACTCGCAAGTGATCGAAATAGTGATCAATATATCAGTGGTCCCCAACAAAATCTAATTGTATAATAAAGATCATAAGCCATTCCACTCTGTTAAGGTGGATGACCAGTGAAGCTATTTACATACAGCACAGACGTGACAGAATTTTGAACGAAGGTACAAACACATTTATTGTCTTGATCGGTGGTCATCGATAAAGTGCAAGCGGTCACTGACAACACTTGCAGAGCGCTTGGTGTTTTGTGCACAATCTTTATCGATGGTGTTTGCCACTTGCCGCCGCCGCTGACATTCTCGTTGCCCTTCCCGCCGTTGCTCTTCGTAGGCGCGTTGCTCTTCGGGAGTCCGGACTATATGCAGCCTCCCCGTTGTGAAGAGAGACGAGAAGTGATTGAAAATGGAGAACGGCAACTTTTCTTTCTGGTTTTTTATATACATTCGCGTGGATGACTATCGCCGCCCCGAGGAGCCGGAGGAAACTAGACATGCGCGACAAAACCGCCACTTCGGGAGAGAGGGAGGAAACTAGGCACGCAAGTGCTTGGAACTTTGACAAAGAGAGGGCGCTGCGAGTTTTTGTTGACGCAGATAAAAGATCCACAGAACCCTGGCCATAAACAGCTTCGCTGTAATAATTACTCGAATTTATCAAAAGTGTAAGCGAAACAGAACCACTGAAGACAAAAGCAGGCATGTATATATAATGGACTAAATTGACTGACCCCATGGTTAAGTAGAATTGCTCTCCAATTAAATTGAATGGAGCTCGAATTAAATTGAATGGCACTTGGATTATATTGACCACCATTTGGATTAAAAGGAGTGAGAAAACCTGTAGAGGTGAGCTATCTCTTGTGTTTAAAAAAAAATATAGCTAATCAAGCCAAAAATGGGGGTGGGCTATCTTTCGGGGGTGGGTAATCTCTCTGATTTTACGGTAGATATATGCACTCATGGATGGGCCTTCTGTACTGTGTAATTCCCATTTCCTGAAATTCTAATTGAGAATTAAATATTTTTTTGCAATTAATATTTGATTCAGTTAGATTATAAAAGTTACTGCTTGTGCCTGCTCTCTACACTTTTTGTTACCTTATGTAGCTCTGGCAGTTGCATTGAAATGTGATGGGTTTTAATGCTAGTTTAGCATTTCCTTATGGAAGTCTATTGCAGTTGTATTCAGAATAACCTAACATGGTACAGGAGCCTTGTGAGTTGTTCAATATGGTTTCTTTTCTTCCCATTCAGATCTCACTCAAGGATTACAGGTTTAGCTTTGCGTTCAAGCAAGCTTGCAACAAGGACATCCACAGCTTTTGTAGTCACGTCAAGACAGGGTAAGTAGAGCTTAACTGTCGGCCCACATTTTTCATGCCATCCTTCACAAGCAAACCCAAAACTTGGGTGCCATTGTTCTTTAGATATATTTTTCAATTCCCCTTTATAACTTGTAATGGTGCATTGATAAGTAAGATCTGTCGAAGGGCATTAGTGTTCGTTGTAACGCTGCTTAGGAAAGAGCTGACTAGTGACTTATTCTCATTTACAAGCTTATAGTATCAGATATGTATTACTTTATGGATGCACCTGTTTATTAACTCGAAATTGCATCTTCACAACTAAACAGTATCTCTAGCATGCCAAGCTTGTGTGTGGAGCATTGTGCATTGGTAGTACAGTTCATGTATTACTGATTGGCAACCATGATTAGCCTGTGCAAACCTTTGGACAGATTTGTTTTAGTGCAATCTCTTGACCTACTAACTAGCAATATAATTTTGACTTGTGTATCAGTATATGATGGTGGTACTATGCGGGCAATGGAAATGGAGAGATGAGCATCACCCAATAGTTTTGCCGATTTACTGATTCTCCAATCTATTTGCAAACTTTCCAGGGCAGAAATGGTTGGCTGCCTTAGCAAAGTGGTGCTAGATGATGTGATGAACGAGAAATCCCCCAGGGTGTCACCACGCTGCAGGAATCAACTGAGGGTTGAGCTCTTCCAAAGGGTCTGTGTTTCCTCATATAGGACTGAGGAAAATATACTTGGTTTCTCTCATATTAAAAATTTGTACTTAGCTGGATACTTGGCATCAAGCCGATTGACGCAGAATGCCTAGTGTGTGGGTGCAGACTTGTTTCAATCTGGTTTTCCTGTTTTGCTCATTTGGCTTTTACGGCATTGTTAGGGATCTGACACAAACACATGATGCATTCTGCATCGGTTGCCTTTACGCGAAGAGTCAAGGTAATCAACTTTTTATGACTGACTTATGACGAGCCTTTGCGGCTGGTCTTAAAACAATCTTCTCAATATGATTCTTTTCGATTGGTGTTCCTTTTGCGTGCATATTTACCAGTAAAAGAAGTTGCCATTGTTGCAAGCAGCGACTCCTGACAAATTGCCTAAAAAAGAATTGAGTTGGAAAATCACAGAATGAGCTTTGGGCCTTTATTAGGGAAAAGAATTACTACTGACCCAATAGTTACCACTTGCCAGTGCCTTGTTGGTTGATTTTATTTACAGAATGATGTAGACTGATTTTTTTAGCATTATTGTTGAGTTTGATAGTATTCTGTGCAGGAGGAGAATATCAAGCTGGACCCAAAACTGGACACAGCCTGTTCTTCCGATCAGCGAGATTTCTGTGCCAACGTCAGTCCTGGGGAAGGCAGGGTGAGCTTGCTTCCGGGTTTCTTTTGTGAATGGGAAAGGGTGTAACCATTGTATGGGTTAGAAAGGAACACTTGGGTAATGGAAAAAAAACATCACTTATAATAACTGCTTTAAATTCTCTTTTTTTCCCCGAACCATTAACGAATGGAACCACCTGCCTCAAAATGTTGTTCATTCCTCTTCTATTGAAATCTTCCTCGATTACGTAGATGCCCACTTTTCATCATAAACTAATATTTTATGCTGTTTTTAAAAGTGCAATGTATCTATTGTATTGAAGTTGTTCACCAATTTTTCATTCTAGACTTCTATATTTGCTTTGAATATTAACCTGCAAATTGTGTTGAATTTTTTTTTTTTTTCTGCTTGTAATATTTCAAACTGTACCACCCTACAACAACCCCGAATGGGGTTAGTAATATTGGAAATAAAATAACTAAATTAACCTATTTAGTTTTTCAGTAGGGTTCAGCTGCTTTCCAAAGGCTGTATAAGGGAAGATTTTAGTAGATTCTCCTAAAGGCAAAATTTTGATAATTTTGATAATGGCTGATTTGCCTCCAAATTGGTCCAACATATCAGTACAAGTAACCCAAATTGCAGGTCAAAATAAATTTTTTTCGTGAAATTATTGAATTTCTAGGTTTGGTCGTTTGTGCTTTCAAACTGAGAGGCTCTCCTGCCAACACTGAAAATGTAACTGCAGTTGTTGTAATTTGGACCAAATTTCGGCATGATAAAAGCAGTAACAAGAATAACAATTTAATTAAACGTTCTGCCTCGCATGCGGGAGGCATCTTCAGTAAGGCGAAGAGCGAAATGAGAGGAGCACTTCTAAGTTCAACTATTTATGCATAAAGTTTGTATACATATACGACAGGGGGCCACGGTTTTTGTTCACCAGCAATGAGTCACTCTCGCTTTGATCGGTCTGGATGAACCAGGACTCTAGTAGTTTTTTTTTGCCTGCACCTTCTCTCCTTCGCCAGGGTCGACCATTGTCAAAGTCAAAGGTGTGGCCTGTGGTCCATGCGCAGTCGACGAATTGGACTTGAAACGAGTTGCATTTGTGGCCTTGGCGACGTCCCGTGCGTGTTCTTTTAGTCTTGTTTTTCTATTTCGTCCCATTTCTCTGCGGAGAAACGGGATGAAGTAGTGATGGACGTCCCATCTCTCCGCAGAAAGGCAAGACTTCCCATCTCTCTGCGGAGAGACGGGATGAAAAAGAAAAACAAAGCTAAAAGAATATGCACAGGACGTCGCCAAGGCCACAAATGCAACTCGTTTCAGTCCAAACTCGTCGATCACGCATGGATCACAGGCCACACCTTTGACTTTGACAGTCGTTGACCCTGGCTAAGGAGAGGTGGTGTTCAAGAAAACTACTAGAGTCCTGGTTCATCCAGAGCGAGCAACGCAAGAGTGAAGGCCCATTCACACACCTCACAAGTATGACCGAGCGAGACAAGACCGTTTCTTAAGCCTCTTGCAACGGCGTAGGACTGGATGCGCTGCTGCGGAGCAAGTCCTAAGCCGCTGCAAGAGGCTTAAAAATCGTTCTCGTTTCAGCCGGTTTCGCTCGGTTGCGAGTATCTCAACGAGCCTTGACTCATCGCTGGTGTACAAAAACCGTTGCCCCCTCCTGAATGTGTACACAAACGTTATGCGTAAATAGTTGAACTTTGGAGTGCTCCTCTCATTTTGCTCTTTGCATTACTGAAGATGCCTCTTGCATGGGAGGCGAAACATTTAATTATTTGTTAATCTTGTTATGTCAAGCTGTTTTCGTTATTGCTTTTATCATGTCTTCGCACGGCTTCTGGAGTTTATTTGCAAATGTTGGCAGTACAGCTGTTCCTGACGGGTTACAAGAAGGCTGATGGTGTAAAATGAATGCTGGGGAAGCTCACTCCAGCAGAACGAAATAAAATGCACGACATGCTGTGTTCTTTAGACTGTCTGCTCGACCGGCAAGTTTTACAACACTCGACATTACTCCACTGGAAGATGCGGGGAAATGTAAATGTTGTTATTGGCATAACTTTTATTTGATCTTTTCTCAATGGGTATTTTGAATTTAAGAGATGATAAATAATAGCACGCCGGAAAGAGTAAAGGCAAGATATTCCGAAAATGTGCTTAGGTAGTTTGGGTTGCTAAAAAAACCGCTGGAGCTACTCTTCAAGGGCTTCCGAAATTTGTGTTTAGAGTTCATTTGAGGTTAATGGGGAGAAAATGGTATGGAAATGCATTGGGTGGATATCGGACTGATCATAAACAGTTAAAAGATGTTTGATTTGATCCAGGTAGCATTATTTCATTGAAGCTGGAAAGTTACCAAGGTACACATCCCTGCTGAAGTTTTTGATCTGTGTCAAATGGAGATCTGAGAATAGTTAGTCTTTTTATTTTTGTGTATGGAGTTGCTTACAGATGCATGGGAAGTGTAATCTCAAACAAACTGGGTTCCCAGAAATGGTTCCTTGAGCTCCCACATTCCCCTTGGTACCAGAACATTTTAGAAACCTTGTTCTATGGCAGTGGTTTTCAAATGGGAGTCCGCGGAACCCCCATTTGAAACGCCAAGCCGAGCAATAAACCAAGCTGAGCAAGAAACACCAAGCCGAGTAATAAAAACTTTTTTATTGATACAAGCTAGAGACCAAACCGTGTACGTCGAATTAGTAGGGCTGAGTATTCTCCATTTCAGAGCTTCAAAGCTGGTCTGCTTGCATTTAGTTTTCTTTATTTACCCTTGGTCATTCTAATCCTCCAGTAACCACCTCCCCCCCCCCCCCCCCCCCTGTGGATAGGGTCTTTCACCCATCTGGAAGGGGTCCCCATAACATCACTGGTTGAGATGAGAACCTTCATTCTAATGTGGGTTCGAATCCCGACCGAGGTGCCCGCAATTTGACGGAGGCTTATTGCGGAGAAGGCGCCGTGTAACCGAGCTTTCGGTTGCACGTCAAAAGATCCCCAGGTGGTCCAAATTAATCCTCAGTCCTCCGCTGGGGCGTGCCAGATGCCCGTCGTAGGTTTGGCACGTAAAACCCCCAAATTTGACTTTTTGACATTCTAATGTGTGTAGTGCAGACCCCCCCTCCCTAGGCATGTCTGTACGAGTTTCTCCTTGCGCATCTGTTCAAGGAAATCTGTGAGGGAAATAGCCTTCCGGAATATTCTCCATCTGCTTAAAGCTTGAGACACCTTCAGTCTTCTCAGCATTGGCCTTTGTGCAGATGCTGGAATGCCTGAAGAAGCACAAGGCAAAGCTGTCGCGTGCCTGCCACCTGGCCATCTTCCGCCGGGAGCAGATGGAAGCTCAAGACAACACGCTGGACTACACATTAATGGCAGCCTGCAAGCCGGCCTTGCACCGCTTCTGCAGCGACGTGGAGCCGGCCAATGCCCTGCAGTGCTTGGCAGAGCATCGCTCGGACCCGCAGCTGGACGATCGCTGCCGGGGTCTGGTCCAAAGGCGTCTGGTAGAGCACAACACAGACTACCGGCTCAATGCCAGGCTCCAGCATGCCTGCCGCATGGACATTGCCAAGTTCTGCTCAGCGTTGGTCCTCGACAAGGCAGCCCAGGAGACTGAGCTTGAGGGCAAGGTTGGTGTCTGGGGCATGTGCTGCATTTCGTCATTAGTGAGTGGCTCAGAATGACGATTGCATTTCCTTGCACCAATATTTCAAGGTCGTGTTAATGTCTCGCCAAGTAATTTTCAGGTTTTAGGGGCGAAGCTCTTTAGGGTCTAGCCTTGTCCGGCTTCCGTGCTCACATCGATTGCCATCCCATCTGTCTTCTTAAAAAAGAAAAAAAAATGTTTGCGCAGTCGACAGGATTCGAACCTGTGCGGGGAGACCCCAATGGATTTCTAGTCCATCGCCTTAACCACTCGGCCACGACTGCGGGACGAGTAGGGGGCTCTGAGGTGTGGTAGTAAATCAAGAGCTGGGGATGTCATGGATGAAACGTTGCATGTAGCCGCTCTACGTCTATACAGGAAAGGGCGCTGCGGTCAAATGCGTATATATTCGCGTTAAACTTTGCATGCATTGGCTCAACGTTTATAGACAAGAGGGTGCTGCAATCAAATGCTCAAATGCGTATATAACCACGTTCCATACCACACATTCTCTTTCTGACATGGATGAAAATGAACTAAAAGCTCGGCATGCTGCGGCTCATTGTCTACGCAGACAGCAAGCTGCTCCGCAGCGGATAAAAAAAAATATCAGCACCATCAGCTCTACCTATGAACAAAATCAGTATAATCAGCACCACCAGAGCTTCGCCCCAATCAACATCAATCACCACGTGGAGATGCGGTCATTTTTTGCAAATTTTCTTCCTCCCCATTATACAAAACTGAAACATGATAAAATCATGCTGCCTCAAGAGCTTTGGCAGCTTGTATGCGTAAGCGTCTTCTAACTGCTATGCTGACCCATTGTTTTTGCCTAGAAACTTTGACCGTCAAGCTTTTGCCAAATTAACGCCGCGTGCTATTTGGTTTGCTCAGTTATTCTCTTTATTTCACGCATCATTTTTGTGAAACTTGTAGCACACATTATTTTGACAATATGCATACTCCTGGTCAAACCTTTCTATTACAATTAAAAAAAAAAAGGGCAGGCTTGCCTTACGACAAACACAAGAACCTCCTCAATGAAGTGGTTGTTCCTATCCAACTGCAGGTTATTCAGTGCCTGAAGATGCAGTTTGTTCGACGCCAACTGACAAAGACCTGCGAGCCTGTTGTGATGGGAATCGTGAGGGATGCTGCACGTGACTACCAGCTCGACCCTGTGCTGGCCCGGGTTTGCTCTTCTGAGGTCAGCTTTGTGCTGTGTACACTATACAGCCTATACATTTGGAGTGCTGCACTATGTTTCTAATCCGATGTTGAATGTTTGCGCTTGAAAAGAAGAATGTCGTGGCTCCTTAAGGCGCGTTCCCACCGGTGATGCGATCTAGTCGCGCGATAACTTTCATCGCAAAAGCGACCATCGCGGGCAAAAAGCGACGCGATTTGAGCAGTCGCTACTCGACCCGACTTTTTTGCGATGCGATCTAGTCGCGGAGCGGCTGAGCCAATCAACGGCGTTCGGAGCGAGAGTTTTTGAGAAACGACTCGCCAACGAAGGCGTTGGACTCGCTCATCGCGCACGCCGGTGTGACCATCTAACTTTTTTTGCGATGCGATCTAGTCGCATCGCTCGACTGCTTACATCGCCGGTGGGAATGCGCCTTTAGCGTCCACTGGATAGTGACCATAGGGCCATAACTGCCATTTTTATTGGTTATTCAGATCCAGAACCCTTGCAAGGACGAGCAGGATATGGAAGAGTGCCTCAAGACTCGTTTCCAGAATAGAGACATCAAGAATCCAGAGTGCAAAAAGGTGTGCAACTTCGGCTCATGCTTTGGCTCGGTTGACTTTGGATCCGGCTTGACTTGAACTTTGCACGAGTGCAGGAAGTGGCCCGGTTGATCCACGAGGGCAAGGCAGATGTCCAGGCTGACCCGATCTTGTACAAAGCCTGCCTGCACGACATCAAGCACTTCTGTCACGGGCTGACGGCAGGTCACGGGAACTGTAAGTTCTCGTGTTTTCACACTGTGCTTCATGGGTAGTATGTGCTCCGGACTTTGTCTTTTTTTTTCCCCACCAGTGCTCTCCTGCCTGCTTACTGGCCTGGAGTCTGATACGGTTGTTTTGACTGACGAGTGTCGGACATTGCTTTCCAAGAGAGTTGAGATGTTTGAATATGCTGCTCAAGTAAGGCTTCTTTTTATTACAAACCCATATCTTCTGAGACAGTTTGCTTCCTCAGGCTTCTCTTTTTCATTTTCACACTGTTTCTCTTTGTTATTGCAAACATTTGGTTGCTACTTACATGCGTGTAACTCATACAGATCTATGCGAAGAACCAAACTTTGTTGCGCAAACCAATGTTCCCTTGATGCACCTACCAACATACAGTCGACTTCCATTAATTCAACCTTGACGGGACGTGCGAAATTGGTTCAAATCATCCGAAAGTCGAAGTAAAAGATGCATGCGAATTTCTGAAGATCCAGCGCTTTACCGTGAAGTTCCGAAGGAACACCCACCCAAAATTAAGAGATAAATGGCAAAAAACATGGTTTTTTGTTTTTGAGGATGCCACAGCAAAACTTTACAAAGAAACTTTTAGCATTTTGGTGAAGGAAGACCAGCGAAGCTGTGCTATGGTGGAAATGAAGTAATGGCCGGCTGCAAGTCGGCAAGCCAGAGTGGAAAGGCTGGAAAGGTTGCGCCATCTATGAGCGACGGTGGCAAGCGGACTACCAGCAAACACAACACTCTGGACAGCTACCGCCATCTATGAGTGACGGCGGCAACCAGAGTTTTGTGTCGATATTTCTTTGCGGAGGACACAATCCTGGGGAAACTAGCCCTTAACATGCAAAAATGTTCCAAAAGCCGGGAATCATGATTAAGAACAAATACCTCCGACTTGCATAACAAAACCAACAATTTATCAGACGTTTCATCTCCTATGCGGGAGACATCATCAAAATTAATTATAAACTCGGGCACCCGCTATAAACCACGTGACATGGGAACTGATACTCCCGATTGCTGACACCGCAATGCGTTTCACAATGCGATAAACACACGAGGATTCGCTACGAATTCCTGTGTCGCGGAAAAGAATATCGCAGGTTGCGGATGCAGCAGATTCGCGTTTTACCGTGCGAAGGACCCGCTGAAACCCGCCAATAACTCGCATCTCACGGGAACGAATAACGCAGATCGCGGACACAGCAGAATCATATTTAACAATGAAATATACACACGGGACCAACTCGCGTGTTACGGGAGCCGATATCGCACGCACAGATCACAAACAAAATCATGGGAACCCGCAATGAACTCGCTTATCAGGTGTACCGGTACAGCAGATTGTGCAGCGGATGCGATTCCCGTCGGACTTTGCGTGACGTCGGACGGGAATCGAGAGGTGGGCGATGTTTCTGAATTTTTATGTTGCAGATATTTAGCCAGAAAAACGGGATAGGCGATCTCTCGGGACTTTACAGTAGGTCAGGTGGGCCAACATTTTTATGAGCCGCTGCACGGCGGCAGCAGCAGTGACCGGCGGCTCCAGTAACATTGCAACACCGCTGCGGAGCAGTGCTCACTGCTCTGCAACAGTGTTGCAATGGTTGTTATGGTTGTGTGCACTGCCGCCGGCAATCATTGTAACACCGCTGCGGAGCAGCGCTGCTCCGCAGCTGTGTTGCAATGGTTGTTTTGTGTTAAGACCCGGCCGTGTCCCATGTCTCAACATGGGATCGCTTTTTCTCTCTCTTCACAGTTCTGCACACGCATCAAGATTTAAAAACGGGTTTTTTCATTGATGGGCGCGGCCGATCGTGCTTGTAACTTGCCCACCACGTAATTCGAAAAAAAAAAAGGCCTGTTTTTGTGCGTCTCGCATGGCCAATCGTGCTTGTAATTTGTCCACCGCTGGTTCTCTCTAGGTCGAATTAACCAATATTTTATATTAATATTTTTTCTATAGAAATGAATGGGCTTTTGCCGGGACCTTTGAACAGGATCTAATTACACGATAAGTCGAATTTACCGAGGTCAAATTAACGAACGTTTACTGTACTGCATAATTAGGGTTCCGTGTTCTCGGAGTTTATATTTCGTCAAATTTGGAGGGTGTTTTTCTGAGTTTATTTTTGCCAAAAATTCAGAGTTTATCGGAGTTCATTTTTGATTCCCAATGCTCCAAAATTTGGGAGTTTAATTTCGCAGTGTTTCTTATTAAAAATAAATAATATCCTGGTGTAAATGTATGCTGGACAAACAATAAAATGCGATTCTAAGTATTAATATGTACAGTCGAACCTCGTTATAATGAAGTAGCATAGGGCATGCAGATTTGTGCGTTATATCCAATATTCATTAGTAAAGCACATACAAAAAGTTCCACAAACATCCTGGCAATTGGGCCCATGCAAAAAGCGCTCGAACGTGCATAATGCTAAGATATAAAAACGCAATGTTGCGGAATTCGAGCCCCATAATAAAGGTGCAAATTCTTACCTGTAACCTTGGGTTGCATTTAAAAAGTTTAACCGGTGCATTATGAAGCAAATTTACAACCGAGGAACCATATTGCCAGAGTATGCACTTAAATTTATTTGAAGACATTATCTTCGACTGATGGGTTTTCACAGCATTGAGGAGAATGAAATTCTCGACGGTGTCCATGCAGGAGAGAGCCTTCTCTACTTTAGTGGTTTTTGTCGTGGGAAGCTTTTCCAAGTAGCTTCGTAGCTTTCTCGTCATGTCCGCAGCATCCACACAACTTGTCTGAAATTCTTCAACATTGTCTTCGCTGTCACCTTCGCTGTCACTGCCGCTATTATCCGCAGGCAACACAACACTATCCACGATTTCTTGGTTCATTAGTTCGAGCGCCAGGACCAAGTTGTTGTCAGCGGAGACAAAGTCTTGAAATGTGATATCCGGCAACGTCAACCGACCCCACGGTGTCTCGAGGGAGGGAGGGAAGGAGGGGGGGGGGGGGGGGGGGAGGAGAGGGGATTGGCACATCTAAATTTGGAGTTTATCGGATAAATCCGTATTGACCAAAATTTTACCGGCGGGTGTTTCTTCGGAGTTTTTCAGATTTATCCGAAAACGCGGAACTCTATACATAATCCATGTTATATTGTTAAAACTGTTCAATGAGACCTGCAGACCACGCATGCGTAAGATAAGGCACTGGCAGTTTGTGTAGGAAAGGTACTGTGCATACCTGTTGTGTGACCAGAAATTTACATTGCCGCCGGTCTGTGTGCGATTTTTAGGTTGCTCCTGTGGAGACAATCCGTGATGTAGTACAGCAGCTTGCAAACTCTCCCTCAAGAAACTATTTCCTTGTGGTTGCCATGGCTATCCTGGGAGTCATCTTTGTGGGCGGACTCTTCTGTGGGCGTGTGACCAAACGTGTGCCTGCCAGCTTCAAGAACAAGTGATGGGGCACGTCGTTAGATTGCCACCAATAGCAACCATGGGACGCTCACCAGTGGGAAGTGTGCCACTTCTCTCGGAGAAACTCTTCCAAATATCCCCGCATTGATAGGCCATGGAAATGTGGGAAGTCATCTGCTTTGCATTTCATTTTGGCTGCTTCGGGGTCAATAAGCTTTTTTCTCACGTTGATTGAAATGGGCGAGCCTTGCTGCACACTTCATTTGGAAGATTGCATTTGTAAGAAGTGGCGCTGTATGAAATTTAATGGCTCGCGATGCAGCCCGTGGAATATTAGATCAAATGCATACAACATTACCTCACACCTGAATCCCTCCGTAGCCTCATCAAAAGTCAAATGTGATATGCATAAACTCATCAGCAGCTTGAAGCAGCTGGGGGCCTAAAAGAATCATACATTTCAAGAGGACACAGAGAGCCATCTTCAGATTTTCATTTTTGCATCCGCAGTCTGCTAACCCTTTGCGACTATTATAGTGCTGGCATTTCACTGCTGACGTCGTCGGAATTTTCTATAAAGTTGGACTTAATTCTTTTAGCCTGCTATGATGCCATATGCTAATTTGGATGCCTTTTTTTTTTAAGAATTTTTTTTGAATTGTTATGATGTTAAAGTGACCTATGGAATGGGCTTTTCTTTTTCATATATTTTGTGTGGATTGTATACTATTGCATTTTGCTATACATTTCTTGTTTTATTTTTCATTTGTGCTTTATTCAAGTTTTTTTAGTTTGAAGCTTTGACACCCAAATTTTGACACTTTACATGTTTTGCCAAGAGTTGCAGTCGGACAATTTAAGAATGATTTTGAATGTTATTGAGGTTTTGTTTTTTAATTCTAACGTGAACATTGTTTACCACCTGTCCTTATTACATTGTTGATGATGTGTTTTCAAACCTCTACTGTATTTTAGCATTTTGCTAGTTTTGCTGCTGAAACCATAAACCTTTTGGGTTGTTTTCAGAAAGACAATCAAGTGAAGTCTGATTCACATATATTGGATTAGCCGAGTTTGCTCTGACCATGCTGCATTCTCCACAGTACTTAGAGTGAATGATGTAACAGAATTGATACATATGTTTGTGTTCATGGCTTAGTCATAACCATTTCAAAATTGTCATGCAAGTTTCAGTGCTAGACAGCTAAAAAGTTTATTTGTTCCTAAAAAAATTTATAAAACTTTTTTTTTTTTTTTGGTGGTTGGTTGTTACGTAAAAATGGTTGCTTGGCAGTCCCGTGCCATTCTGGCAGAGATTGTGTTTCGAAGGACAACCTTTGAGTAGTGGATTGGAACTCCATCCACGGGCACTTTTCTATGTGCTAATCTAGTCGAGCCTACTGAGATCCTGTTGTCCATGAGCCATCTCAGTCTTCTGGTTACTGCTTGTAAGAACCAGCACAGGTGTGCAGAATTATATCAGCACCCATTGAAAGTCCTGTACACTGTAAATAGGAATGCACAGTCCGAAACCACCATCCACTTGGTGGTTTGCTCTGAGAATTTGTTTGTCAATATGCTGCTTATATAACTAGAGGTGATAATCTCTTCCGCCACGCACACTCCCTTTTTGTCCTGGTTGTCATTGTATGATTTGCTGCCATCTAGTTCCTGCACATCGTTCCTTGGCTCCATTGATGATAGCTTCTGTGTTGGATGTTTTGGGATGTCACACCTTTTCTGCAAGTGTGTGATGGGGACAGATACATTATCAAAGTGCGATTATGGTAAAGAGGCATGCTTTATTGCCAGCGGTACAGTTGAGAGTTTGAGATGGTGGCCATCATAACCAGTATGTAATTGATGTACTATTGTACATAAACAAATAAAATATCCTTTTTTTTCACACGACCAATGATGCTTACGGTAGTCCTGTTTTTTGTGTGTATTAAGTGTCAGTTTGTTGCAATGTTAGGATCTCTGGAATGTGAACTACAACATTAGTGTATTGTTCGGAATCCAAACGGCTGCATCGAGCGATTGTTCACTGGCCATGTTTGCTTGGTTTGGATTTCACAGGCATGATGTAGTGATGATTGCTGTGCCATTTGCACAGTCATTGTGCCAGAAGTTATTTCACCGTATGACTATAAACTAGCAGCTACATTGCTATGCCGTCAGACCTTTAGATAAGCTTGCGTGAATTCTCAGAATTAGTGGTGGGAGTTGCCAATGAGGAGTTTGAACGATTTCGTAATCATTCCGCCCTCCACCCTAGCAGCAGCACTGGGAGGAATGGAATGTTTGCACACCATTTTCCGCAAGTCCATTCGATCTTGGGGTGTGCGGACTATAGTCAGTTACAGGTCAAGAAGGTAGCGGCAAATGCCCCTCAAAGGGAATCACATATCCCTCCGCCACCTCCGCATCCAATAGCGTCCCACCGTTTCCGTGACGTTGCGGCGAACGCGCGAGGATGGTCTTGCCTTTCTGTACATATTTGCTTTATTTTTCGAATCTGACTTAGCACTGTGGAAGCGACGAGAGGGAGATTAGAGTTCTGCCCCACCGACGGAAACAAATGCGACTTTCGGGGATTAGCTTCCCCCCCGATAGATACAAAGGCTGCTTTCAGGGGCTCGGTTCCCTCTACGATGAATACAAAGGTCGCTTTCTTAAAAAGTGGGATCGGAGACAAGTGGGAATCCATTGAAGCGGAACAAGGAGCGTTTCCAGTGAACTCTTCTTTCGACTGCGGAGAGATTTGAAACGGGCGCATCACACTTGTGGGAGGAGCTTCTCCTACCTTCTTGACTTGTAACCGACTATAGATGCTTGAAGTCATAGTGCGGTGCAAACTTGGTGGATTCTTTTGTTGAGAACTGTGGGACGCCGTCTGCACGAACTTCGAGTGGCATGGCATAGCTAGAAAACAATTCGCCATGAAGTCGATCACAGGTTGTGGTGTCTCGTAGTTCGGCGACCTCGGGAAAGTTAGAGCAAGCATCGTACAAGGACCAGGTATGATTTCTTAGCTTACATGAACAGCTCTGCTCCAATTTGTGCCCACTGTTGTAGGGCGTATCTCGTTGAAGAGGCTTCTCCTACTAGCGGTAGGCAAACTGCTTGCAGGTTCTGCATTGGCTGACCATGCATCTTGAGACCTGGCCAAAACATTAGGCTTTGCAGTTGTTAATGTGACCGCTCTGCAAGTGTTTCAGGTCCGAGGCTTAGTGTTATTACGACTTTAGCTCTTTTTATGAGGACTACATTTCTTGAAAAAAGGTACGTTTTAACTTTCATATTTGCCAGCTGGAGAAATTTAAGTTTTCGAATTCTACGAAAGCAGTGAAAGGGGATTGAATGCCCTCCTAGTGGGACTATACGGAGTGTTCACTAGACGCCATATTTGTGGGTGCTGTTTAGAGCCTTGCTCAGAACGAGCTCTCATCAATAGGCTGCTAAGACCGGCACTCTTGATGAGGAATGCACGTTGCAAAAGAGCTGGAAGCTCGCTATCAGCACGCGCTCGGCATTCGCGCACACAGCTATGGCCGCCAGTGAAGGGTTCCGCTCGAAAGGGTGCCTATTCTAATAAATGCAAGCTCCCCCCCCCCCCCCCCAAAAAAAAAAAAAAAAAAAAAAAAATTGGGCGGTGGGGTTTTTAGTGTTCTTTTAGAGCAGCAGTGGCCAAGCTGCGGCTCGCGAGCCGCATGCAGCTCTTCGCGTGTTAAATGGATACTAAAACGAAATTTCGGCGCTTATTTTATGGTCGATGTGTTCAAAGGAGCAGTATCACATCGAACACACCAATATCTTAATAAAAAATCACGAAAAGGAATTTTAAAGCGAATTAAACGATTAGCAAAGAGCACCTGGTGGGTGTCGCTAACGCCTCGTTTGTAATGCCCGTCGAGGAACCTTGACAGCTAGTGACGGCAAGTGTCTCGCCTCCGGCCACGACGAGAGGAGAGGGGAAGGAGGAACTCCCGTCTTCCCGAGAATCCCTTTTGTGTGTTCCAGAAGTAGCTATTGTCCCCCTACAAGATTATAAAAGATTAACCCTCACTCAAAATTCGTACAAAAGCAGCCGCTTCAGTGGCTGGAACGACTAGGTCATCCCCTCGACGTCAGCCTCGCCGTAGCTTTGCTCGTCCCGAGATGACCTACGTCACGATTGCGTCGGATCTCACGTGCTCTAAGCTGGGCCTTCTCCGAGCGCTTGCTAGAGTGGGCCGTTTATAACAAAAAATACAGCCACCAGGCTCAAAATTCAAACGTGCGATTGTCATTTACGAATATTGTGGATCATATTCAGCCTATTTTTGAACACTACGGATATATTTCAAATTTTGTTTAACTATCCCTTTAAAAAGATACTACAACAAAATTTCGGCGCTCATTTTTTGGTCTATATCTGTTCCAAAAAGCAGTATCACATCGAACATACTAATATCGTGTTAAAAAAGTCACGAAAAGGAATTTTAAAACGAATTAAACGATTAGCAAAGAGCACCTGGTGGATGTCGCTAACGCCTCGCTTGTAATGCCCGTCTAGGAACCTTGACAGCTAGTGACGGAGGTTGTCTCGCCTCCGGCCACGACAAGAGAAGAGGGAAAAGAGGAACTCCCCTCTTCCCGGGAATGACTTTTGTGTGTCGCACACTCGAAATTCGTACAAAAGCAGCCGCTTCGGTGGCTGGAACGACTCGGCCATCCTCTTGACGTCAGCCTCGCCGTAGCTTTGCTTGTCTTGAGACGACCTACGTCACGATTGCGTTGGATGTCACGTGGTCTCCGCTGGGCCTTCTCCGAGCGCTTGCCAGAGTGGGCCGTTTATAACTAAAAATACAGCCACCAGGCTCAAAATACAAACGTGCGATTGTCATTTACGGATATTGTGGATCATATTCAACCTATTTTTGAACACGGCGGGAATATTTCAAATATTGTTGAAGTATCCCTTTAAAGTACGACTCGCGGCTCCCGTAGTGGCGCTGTACGTTTTGCAACAGGCCTATTGGAATATGGAGAATGAATATATAACTAAGTTTATTAGTGAATTATGGTTAATCAATCATCGTTTAGTTGTATTTTTTATTGAACCTACCCAAGCAGACAGTGGCCAGTGTGAAGTGTGCCGGACGTCCAAGGATCGGAAGTTCAGCGAACTTCCAACACTTCGCGAGGTCAATGAGCAAGGAGGTTAGAAGTACTAGGAGAGGGCACGTTGCAATATTGGTGAAGCCTAGTCATAAAAAGTTTAAACGATGTTGTGGCCAACGTGACCGCAGATCTCTCTGGCTATTGGTGCGCGTGACATGTCACGTGTGAGATGGATGGTTCATTGTAGGACTCCTTGCAGGCTTGCGCGCGCTCCATCCGGTAGGTTTTATCAGATCGAAGGCTAGCCTGTGGTGTATTCTAGCACCCCATAGCTAGACTAAGGCTAGCTACGGTCACGTGATATGGTCACGTTGGCGTGGTAAGTGAGGAAAGTAAGGAGGAAAATAAGAGGCGAGGCGGTCAAGGGAGCATGGCTTGTGGAGGCTACACGGCTGTCGTCATGCCCTCTCCTACGCTTCTATCCTCCTTGCCAATGAGGCTTGGTTTCCATGCCCAGCCTTTCTTTCCAAGTTGATGATTGGGCATTGTATTTTGTCTGGGCCATGCGCACCAAAATGAAACTCGCTTAAAAATTGTAATGACTCGTACTAGAGTCACTAAATAAGCTACGCTTTCAGAGAACCGCATTCCTTTTCTTTGGCATTTTGCTGACAATACGCTCGCTCTGTCCAACAATATTCTCGTTCGCTGCGGCATCATTGGACAGCGGCAGTCACGTGAGTCGCTAACATCATCATCGCGTTTTTTCAACGCCACCATCTTGGGTCCAGCGAACCGCTGCCTGCTGCTGTTTTACTGTTTAGTGCGCGCGCACGCTGAAGTCCGTCGCTCAGCATGCACTTTTTCCTTTTTACGTCGAGATACGAACAACGCGGTCTTGATTTGCTGCCACAGTTGCGGCTACGGCAGCTGGCGCAGGCGACGACTACAGCTCGGCTTGGCTCAGCTACAGTCATTCCTCCATCTGTGTGTGGACCCAAGATGGCGGCGCCTGACGCGCTTCAGACGCGTAGTGGGAGTTTCAGTACTCTGAAAGCGTAGCTTTATTTGGTGTTTAGTATTTAGTATTTAGCGGCGTTTTACTTGTATCTAAAAAAAAAAAAAAAAAAAAAAAATCGACGTAGCTTTGTTTAGACGAAAATAAATAAACAAACGAACGTGTATTATGTTTTTGTAGTTTCATAGAGACAATAACTGACAAAGTTTTGGGGTATCCCTAATGAGCGGGGTCTTACGAATCAGGACAATCGGAAACAAAACCGTCCGATGAAAAAGTCCGCCAAACTTTTCTGCAATTCGAACGTCCGGAAAGTGAGCTCAATGAGGAGGCCAGGAGGCCACCACGACCACAAAGACGAGCATCGCCATCGGAAAAAAATCGAGCTTGAGAGTGCCTGGGGGCCCATACAGACAGCAACATATTGTGAAAAAATACAAAAAAAAAAAAAAAAAAAATATGACGCGTAACAATATGAGTACACATAAACACCTTGTGAATGTATACAATTGTATATGGTACATGTCAAAGACTATATAAAGATTATGAATCGTCGAAGGAATTATAAATGACATAGATCACATTTCTCACATGGCCTGTTTTCTAGCAAAAATTACAACAAAAAAAAGGCTTCGACACCAAAATAGAGACTAATGCATTATCATCTGTTGTTTACAAAAAAATTCTCGCATTTTTTTTCTAGTAAATGTATCAAAGTAACTACTTTGTTCTAGATACTTGTTTAGAATAAAAGGTACGTTATATGTCAGCGACTGCGAGAAGTATT